CACACATGTGCATGTGCCAAATCTTTGTCAGCATTGGATGTTGGGGATTATAGGCATGTAATACTGTCCCTGGTTTGTCAGTTTTAATAGGTGTATGATGGTATTTCACTGTGGTTTTGAGTTGCATTTCCCTGATGCCTAATGTTTGAATGTTATTCCACGTGCTTATTTGCTGCCCATGTATCTTTGGTGAAGAGTCTTTTCAAATCTTGTGTGAATTTTTATCCCTGGATGCTGGGGATCAAATGCAGGGCCTTCCATGTACTAGCCGAGCGCTCTTAATACTGAGTTATAGCTCCTTGGTATTTTTTTTTTTGCAAGTTCTTTATATATTCTTATGTGTTTCTCAGATGTGTTTTGGATATATTCTCAATATTATGACCTCTCATTAATTGTTCAAGTAGAAGTTTTAGATGTTTATGAAATCTAGTTTTTTAGATCATGCTTTTTGTTATACTTTTAAGAAATCTTTGCCTAATGCAAGTCATTTTTTTCTCATTTTTTCTTGTAGAACTTTTATTTTGGCTACTAGGCATTGAACTCAGGGGCACTCAACCACTGAGCCATTACCTTTCTCCTTTCCCCCTCCATGACAAATGACCACTCCTTCACCCCTTTTCAGATCCTGAAGATTTCTGCAGTTATCTCTCATTCACATAAAATTACTTCTGGATTGCTTTTGTAAAGTTATATAATAACCAGTAACATCTTCTTCTAAGTTAAATATACTGTTATGTGTTTAATTTAGTTATCTTAGTCCCATTCCCCAATATAGACCATTTAAAATTTGTTATTGTCCTGGGAACTCTACTCTTTCCACCTGTCCTTGAGTATTCTACATGTTATCTGTTTTTCATCACTCTTACCCTTCTTTATAAGAATACAATTATTTAAATGTAAAATATTATATAACTTTCTTTTTCAAGTAATACCGTGAAAGTGGTATATGCTTCCTGAGGACTATACAATTGTCCATTTTGTTCACTTTGAAGCCCTACTCCTCAATATAGTATATGATGGTGGTAGCTGTGCAATAAATATTTCTTGAATAAATGTTAAACTGGTCAGAAATATGAGACTCCAAAAGTCTTAAGAGCTGTTTTCCTCCTAATGACTGAGTGACTTTACCATCATAAAATATAGGTTTTATTTTGTTAGAGTAGTCACAGAAGCTGCAGATGTTGGGAAAACTCGGAATGAAGTTCTTTTTTGTATGTTTGTACTTATTTATCATCTGTAGACTTTAACTAAATAGGTAATGAAAGAGCAGTCTCATTCAGAGCCCATTGAAGGGAAGTGGAATGAAATTGATAATTAAATTTTTCTTGGAGTGTAAACTAGTTTTTGAAGTCTATCAATTTTTAGTCTTTTTAATTGTGGGTATTGGTGATTGAAACCAGTGGTGTTTTACCCAAGAGCTACATCCCCAACCCTTTTTATTTTTTACTTTGAGACACGGTCTTGCTAAGTTGCTTAGGGCCTCACTAAGTTGCTGAGGTTGGCCTCAAACTTGCAGTCCTCCTCCCTCAGCCTCCCAAGTTACTGTGATTATAGGCGTTTGCTACCACATGCAGCTAAATCTTTAATTTTGTCAGTATGAATCTACAGTAGGCAGTGTGATTTGCTAGGTGCATTTGAAATGATTGTTTATCATTTAAATGATACATTTTGTTATTTTGATTTTTTTTTTTTTTAAGATTGGGGATAATTTTATTTTCTTTTTTAAAAACCACATTTTCCAGTTTCTAGAATTCTTATGTATTTTTTTATAATAAAAGAAAAGTAATAAATTTTATATTTTAAATGAACAAATTCTATAAAGACCAGGCTATCTGGAATCAATTCAMATTCATTAAGCTAAGAATACCCTTATTTATAGAATATAAATTTTATTTATTCTGTTATGTTCAAATTCTTATGATAGCTGAGGTTACACAAGGAGGGTTAAGGACCCTTGATCACAAGGGAGATTTAGTTCTTATTTATGTGGTGTTTGTGGCAGAGAGAGCTGAGGGAATGTTTAGCAGATAGATATATTAATATTTCTTTGATGAATAAGAGAACACTAGAAGTGGATATATTTTATTTACATGAAATGTAGTTCAACATGGCATGACATGTTTATCTTCTGATGTGGGAAACCCTTCCAACTCTGGATAAATATTAGGAGATACTCAAGTACCTATTATCAGCATATTGCCAAAGCTTCTCTTAGGGTGATAAAATTTGAAGAGTGCTTATCATTATTTATATTAGGTTAAATTATTTAACTATTGTCAGAAAGGTCTTTTTTTCCCACACTTTTAAGGGTAGGATAATAAAATAATAGTAATAGCAACATCATTTAATGAGTATTTATTTTATACTAGGCACTTTACATTGATAATCTCATTGGATCTGCAAAACAAATCTCTTAAGGTTAAGTATTTCAGACCCAGAATCTCTTATCCAAAACTTTGGAGACCACATGTGTTTTGGAAGTGAGATTTTTTTTTTGCAATTTAGAAAAAAATTGGTATTCTTTGGTATACTTTGTAATATACTAAGTGGATATGAAATATATTAATATTTCTGTAAAGAAATGTATGAAGGGTTAGGGATACAACAATGGTGGAGTGCTTGCCTAGTGAGTGTGAGGCCCTGTGTTCAATACCCAGCACCACTCACACACAAAATTATACTAAGTGGAATAAAGACCATAAATAATATGATTTATTTACATAAATAAATTAGTGAATTTATCAATAAGTGAATACACTTACTGGTAAATGAAATAAGAATAGACTATATACTTTAAGCTTCTTATTTCTTTTACTTCTGGTAAAACTTCTCACTTTAAAGGAAATTTTTTTTTTTTAAAGAGTGAGAGAGAGAGAATTTTAATATTTATTTTTTTAGTATTTGGCGGACACAACATCTTTGTTTATATGTGGTGCTAAGGATCAAACCCGGGCTGCACGCATGCCAGGCCAACACGCTACYGCTTGAGGCACATCCCCAGCCCAAAGGAAATTTTTAAGTAAAAATTATATTCATACTGATGAAAACTAATGTATAACACATATAAATGCAATAAATGTTCATCACTTCTGGTTCCTAGAGAATCTTGGAGAAAAAGTTACACCAATATTACCATTGTCTATAAAACCAGGAGGCAGCTAGACATAATGAGCCAGAAACAGGATTCTCAAGTGACATAGAACTTTTTAAAAGGCCTTTTCCAGTGTCATCTGCCTCCTTAACACAGGTTTTTGTCTCAGCAATTTCTCTTTAATTGAGTAAATTGCCATGATCTCTTGCTCACTGATGAATGCACATTGTTCAAGACCAGCAATTAACTGGTCACACATTTTCACCAGGTGTTCTATAGAGATTTTTTCACCTGTGTTCATGTCATCATCGTGACTGCTACTATCTTCATACTGATCTGTATTTACACCCATTTCAGCAAAATCCCCCTCGCTCAAAGGATGCACAACGGGTACATCATTATCAATGTTCAGTATTTCTTCAATGTCAGCTTCTTCTAACTTATTTACACTTTCAGCTGATAAACTTTTGGCATAAGTAATAAGTTTTGATATCATRATCTTCTCATTAGAGTCTCTAAATCCTTCAAAATCCTCATCMGCAAGGTCATTTTCAAACATCATTGTAGCCCAAAGTCTGTGCCAAGCATTTGTTAATGTTGACTTATCAACATCATTCCATGCATTAGCAATTGCATAGATGGCATCCTTAAGACTAAATTCTTTAAGGAAGTCCTGGATTTTCAGGCCTSTGTTCACTGAAGCAAGCATCCTGTTCAAGAAAAAGTGTTTATATTTGCTCTTCATGGAGCGTAAAATTCCTTGGTCACAAGGCTGTATTATGGATGTCACATTCAGGGGAAGGAAGATGCTGAAAACATTACAATTTTTCACAAGTAGTTCTGGAGGGGGATGTGCTGAACAGTTGTCTAGGAACAGTAAAATTTTGCAATTGTCTTCTAGTCCGGCTTCCTTGCAGTGAGCTCGTGCTGCTGGCACAAAGTGCTTATTGAACCAATCAGAAAAGATTTCTCTGGTTACTGATGCTTTTTTGTTTGCATAATAATGCACAGGTAAGCTGCCTGTACCTTTTAAACATTTTGGAGGTAGGCTTTTCCCAATCACTGCCAGTTTTATCTTATGTGTACCTGCAGCATTAGCACATCCAAGAACAGTTAATCTTTGCTTGGCATCCTTGAAATCTGTTGGTACCTTTTCATTGGCCATGATTAAGGTTTTTCTAGGAACATAGCACCAGTACAGAGCTGTTTCATCAGCATTGTAAATTTGTTCAGGGCTAAGGTTTCCATCAGATATTATCTTAGCAAATTCGTCAATGTAATTTTCAGCTGTTTCATGATCCGCAGAAGCTTTTTCACCGCACATTTTAAGATATTTGATTCCATGACGCTTTTTAAATTTTTGCAGCCACCCTTCTGAATATTCACACTCGCTTTCAATGTTCAGTTCTTCATGGTATATTCTAGCTTGTTTCATGACCAATAAACCAGTCAGGGGYATATCTTTGCTTCTTTGTTGTCGAATCCATTCAATTAACACACGGTCAAGATCTTCATTTTTGGCCCTATGTAATGTTTTTCTGTTTTTCATTAGGTCTTGGTTATCACTGTCACTGTAAAATTTCAGCAATTTGTCTTTCTGTTTCTTTAAGTCATATATAGTGGTGGTCCCCACACCATATTCTTCTGTAAGACACCTTACAGACACACCAGCATCAAGCTTCTGTAATAACTCTACTTTCTGAGCTATTTATAAAGACAGATGCTTCCTTTTCTTCTTCTCACCATTATCCATAGGTATATCTTTAACTCTTTTGGACATTTTCCAATGCTATTAATTCCAAGTCACAGAACATCAGCAAATAACAGAGGTATGTGTGGTGAACGGATATGAGTAGTAAGACAATGGAGGCTTCATGTTTATCCACGGTTTGTTTTGTTGTCAAAGAGTCCTGGTGCCAAACTCACAAAACACTTTTGAGTTTCAGAGTGTTTTCTGTTTTTGTCTTATTTTGGGATTGCAGAGTAGAGATTGTGGACCTCTGAAATCTGTCCTCTGTTTTGCATCTTCTCTGACATTTCCCAAGTCCACATTATCATATCTTGCTGGGATGATGGTAAAAGCCTTCTAACTGGTTCAACAGCATCCTCCTTGGCTGCTTCTATTCTTGTCTGGGAGAATAACCTCAAAGGGTTCTCAGGATCAGTGAGACAATCCATTTTATAAGTTTAGCACCACGATGGCACAAGTAAGCGCTCAATTTATGTTAGCAGTTATTTTTCTTTAAAATCAAGTAGAGTTAGGAGACAGCCTAAGTAAATAGTTGTCATATAAATGTAATAGTAGAGCACCGCACTCAAATCAAGAGGACCACTTTAACAGAAGCAGAGAAGGATGCACTGGCACTTACATTTTGGGCAATGCAAAGACYATGCCTATGATAAGACTAACAGCACAACGCCCTGCAGCGGTAGCTGATTTAAACTCTCAGAAAAGCCAAAAAAATACTGAAAAAAATAAAAGAAAGAAAATGCTCATAAAATGTGTTTGGTCCGTCAGGGCCGCTGTCTACAGGTAGGCTAGTGCAGCTAGGGAAGTGACCCCTGGTTCCGACAAGAGGAGTCTTTTCCGGCCCCGAGGGGACAGGACCCGGAGGTGACTAGCCCGCCATTCTTCGGCCCGTCCCTGGGGAGCCGCAAGAATAAGTGCTGCTGCAGAGGCCTCACCTCCGGGCCTTCGCCACGTCTTTCTTGTCTGAAGGACGGAATCCAAGACCTGCGTCCCAGCCAACAGATAGTGATACCTACAGCGGCTGCGAGGAGCCCCGAGGGAAGTCACATCCTGGGCTCCCGGCCGCCCACCAACCCACATTTTGTTATTTTGAAATAGGGTTTTGTAATATGCTTACAAGGTGAAATGTTGATACTGAGAACCTGATGGAAAAATAATGTTCATTCCCTGCATTTGAGTCCTCTAATTTTTAATACTACAGTTGAAAACCTGATGTTTGAGGCAATAGTGATCATCAGAACTATAGTCGCTACTAAATTACTGAATTAACCCAAATGAAAAATGTTTTAACTTACATAAATTCGTTTTAAAGGATTAAGGGAAGGCTTGTGTTTCTATTGGCATTTTAATCAAATCCAAGAGAGATTTCTGACTCTAAATATGTCCTTATTATTATTTTGGTTTTTAGACCCTACTTGACTTGCAGACTTGACTCCAGTGTAATAATAGAGTATTTCAATATACCTTTCTCTCTAGTAGATAGGTCATCTACTCTAAACTCTGTAAATAATCTTCAAAACCCCAAATTATTAATTAAATGGATTTAATAGACATCTTTTGAATATTTCCTCCAACAATAACTGAATTCACTTTCGTCTCAGCTGCTCATGAAACCTTGTTCAAAGTAGATCATATTTTTCTTATCTAAACAGACCATATTAGGCTACAAAGCAACTCTTAGCAAATATTAAAAAACTGATATAATTCCTTGCATCTTACCATATTAAAATGGAATGAAGTTATCAGTCAACATCAAGAAAAACTACAGAATCTATATAAACACATGGGGATTGAACAATATCATTTTGATTGATGAATGAGTCATAGAAGTAGGCAGGGGAGACATTTAAAAGATTTTGGAATCAAACCAGAATAGTGACACAACATACCAGAAACTTTGGGACACTATGAAAGCAGTTCTAAGAGGAAAGTTTATAGCTGTGAGTGCCTACATAAGAAAATCTGATGGACCCCAAATAAGCAATCTATTGATTGATCTTAAATCCCTAGACAAACAAGAGATAACCAGTTTCAAAACCAGTAGAAGGAGGGGAATAATTAAGACCAATCTGAAATGAAATAGAGAATTAAAAAAAATACAAAAGATCAGTGGAACAAAGAGTTAGTTCTTTGGTAAAATAAACAGTTTAATAAATCCTTAGCCAAACTAACCAAAAGAAACAGAGAACAGACCCAAATTGATAAAATTAGAGATGAAAAAGGAGATATTACTACAGATATCACAGAAATCTAGGGGGATCCTTAGGGATTACTCTGAGAATTTATACTCCAATAAATTGGAAAATCTAGGAGAAATGCATACAGTCCTAGACACATAACCTATCAAAGTTGAACCAAGAGGAATTTAGAAAACCTAAAGTGATCAATAATAAGCAATGAGATTGAAGCATCAATAAAAAGCCTTCTAAAACCTGGGACCAGATGGATACTCAGCTAAATTGTACCCAGGTCTGTAAGGAAGAACTAATGTTAGTGCTCTTCAGATTATTCCATGAAAGAGGTGGAACACTTACAAATTTGTTTTGTGAAGCCAGTCTCACCCTGATACCAAACCAGATAAGGACACAATAATGAGTTAAACTACAGACCAATATACCTGAAAGCATTACATGTAAAAACCATTAATAAAACATTAGTCAGACATATTCAAGAACATATTAAGAAGATTGTATATCATGACCAAATTAGTTTCATTCCAGGAATGCAAGGATGGTTCAACATACACGCCAATAAATGTAATTAAAATAAATAAATGTAATTCTCTATATGAATAGAATTAAGGACAAAATCATCACATTGCCACTTCAATAGATGCAGAGAAAGCCTTCAACAATATTCTGCATGATAAAACTATTTAGGAAACTAGGAATAGAAGGAGCTTGCCTCAACATCAGAAAGTCTATATATGACAAATTGAAAGCCAATATYATGGTGAATGGAGAAGAATTGAAAGCATTTCCTCTAAAATCAGAAGCAAGATGAGGATGTCTTCTCTCATGATGCCTATTCAGTATAGTACTAGAAATTCTAGCCAGGGTAATTAGGCAAGGGAAGGAAATACAAATAGGAAGGGATATAAACAGGAAAGGAAAAAGTCAAATTATTACTGTTGGCAGATAATTTGATCCTACATTTGGAATCTAGAAAGCTCCACCTTAAGACTGCTAGAACTAATAAATTCAGAAAAGTAGCAAAATACAAACTCAACATACAAAAATCAATAATTTTCCAACATACCAATAACGGATTCACTGAAAAAGAAATCAGGAAAACAATCCTATTCACAAGAATCTCAAAGATAAAATACCTAGGAATAAATGTAACAAGACCTCTACGGTGAAAATCATAGAACACTGAAGGACACTGAGAACAACTCTAGAAAATGAAATGAGGGCTGGGGATGTGGCTCAAGCGGTAGAGCGCCCGCCTGGCATGCGTGCGGCCCGGGTTCGATCCTCAGCACCACATACAAAACAAAGATGTTGTGTCCGCCAAAAACTAAAAAAATAAATAAATAAATGTTTAGAAAATGAAATGACTTCACACGTTCATGGGTAGGCAGAATTAATATTGTTAAAATGATCATAACCAAAAGTGATATACTTATTCACTAAAAATCCTCATCAAAATATCATTGTCATTCTTCAGAAAACTAGGAAAAAAACTGCTAAAATTCATAATGTAAGAGTATTTTCTGTATTCTCTACATGTAACAAATTTTAGACATCAAAGTCTTCCATTCAGAATATTAAATTTAAATTTTACTTAGAAATAGTCCCAATTTGGACACTTGGTTTAGGGTTGTGTATGTGAAAATATAAAAGAGGAACCAACTACAAATACATGGCAATTGCAGATGATATGCAGCAGTTTAATTAGGCACAGAACTTTGTATCATTTGCTATACTTTGTTAGATCTGAAGTGAATTTATTTTCTTCCTTTTGCCAAAGCAGTAATTTTTATATTGGACTTCTTGAATAGGTTACTTTAGGGCCGTTTGCCATTTCCTTTGTATGTGTCACATTTGAATAGTGGAGTAGTTGGTCATCATTGATGATTGTGTTGTGATTATGAAAAAGACTGCATAATATTAATTTTGATCAAGGTGGCTGTGTAACTTATCCAATTGGAAACCTTTGAAAGTAAAGAAAGAGTGATAATAATTACCTTAGAAGAACAGATATGAATTAAGACTGTCAAACCAAGAAATGTAATCATCCAAATTACAATGCTTTTGAGAGAAAGTATCAGAAACCATAACTCAAATTACCTTAGAAGGGAAATAGATACTGGCTTTTTTGGGATTACCATAGGTGTGATTCACTGAAGTGTGCAGCTTTCTCTGTTTTCTAAAACCGTTTTCTCCAGCTGGTGTTCCTTCTCTTTGTTGAAGGATTGCCCTCAGCAGTCTGGGCTATATATTCTTTTTTTATTTATGATCAGAAGGACAGAAAAGTCTGCTTTTCTCATAAGCATAGAATGCGTTTGAACTATTCTCTGGTCAAGGGGGGTGTCATGTACTGATCTGATATCTGAAATATCACTGAAAGAAATAAGAGAATTGCCTGATTCTTTTAGAGTAATATATTTAGGACACTGTTTGTAAGGTCAGGCTATCTAGGAAAGCAGTGCATCTAAATGAAGGGGAAGGAATTAAGAACCTCTTTGAAGTCTAGAGTCATTGTTTGCATTTTACTTTAGGTGTCTTTTAATGTTTTCCTACAAGAGTCTAGTATGCTTAGATGATAAGTTTTCCTCAAATGAGAATTTTTAGTATAAAAAGACTTAGTAGTCTGGCAATGGGAGAGAAAAAGAAAACTTTCCATCTCATTTTCTCTAGAAGACTATAGTAATTATTGATGACCTTTTTTTTTTTTTTCACAGACTAATAGGGATGCCAAAGGAAAAATATGATCCTCCAGATCCTCGCAGAATTTATACCATCATGTCAGCGGAGGAGGTAGCCAATGGGAAAAAATCTCACTGGGCAGAATTAGAAATCTCGGGTGAGTGGAATCTGAAGCATTTTATTTGAGATATACTAGTACAAATGAATAAAGGTATTGCTATTTTGATTTTAATTAGGTGGACTAATTGAAAGTATACAAGAATGCCAAGGTACTAGATTTTTTTTTTTTTAATCTGTTACTAAGTATCTTTGTCCCCACCCTTTCTTTGAGATTAATTACCTTGAGTAAGAGTTACCATCTGGAATTGAGGATTATTGGAAGTTCAGATTCTAAGTAAAACCAGGTTTTGTGATATAATAGATTTTGTTTGATTCTTTCAGAGTAATTTTGTCAAATTAACATCTTTGCCATCCTCCTGTCACTTAAATGTTGGCAAAGAAGGAAACCTTTGAAGGTTTGAATTGAAGCTATCCTAACAAATACATGATTACTGTGTTACAAGACCTCAATAAATGTTTGGGATTTGTTAAAATAGAATATAACATCAGACTAACTCAAACTGAAGTACATTCTACAAAATACCCACTACTAAGCCTCAAAATTATCAAGGTTGTGAAAAACAAGAAAAGAATGAAAAACTGCCATAATTAAGGAGATATCATGACTAAATACAAAATAGTAGCTGGAGTTGAATCCTGGAACAAAAAGGTGTAAAAACTGTTGAAAGCCAAATAAAGTCTAGATTTTAGTTAACAGTAATATACCAATGTTGGTTTCCTGGTTTTGCCAAGTTCACCATAGTAATGTAAGATTCTAAAATGAGGAGTAAGAGATATGACTCCCTGTATTATTTTGGTAACTTTTGTGTAATTCTAAAATTATTACAAAGTAAAAAATAGATTGTAAGAAATGTTTTTATTTTCTGAACTGCTATAGTGCAGATTATATGGGATGTGATTTTTCCCAGTAGGCTTTTGTTTGGAAGAGTTAAACTCACATCGTAATATCAGTGGCAAGTATGGCAAGAATAACTCATACATGTAGCTAAAAGGTAACTGGGTGG